TTTAGACACATCATGACCTCTCAGTCTCCAGCCCCGATGTCTTTAGACACATCATGACCTCCCAGTCTCCAGCCTCGATGTCTTTAGAAACACACTCTGCTCGTATGGCCTTTCCTCTGTTTACCACCAGGAAAATTCCTCCTCATCCGGTGAGACCCCAGCACAGGGGTCCCCGAATCCTACCAGGGAGGCAGTCCCCAACACTTATACAGGGATGACTAGACACCTGCAGGGCGGCTGCGGCCAGTTGCCTATGTGTCCAGCTGCAGACTGAGGTCTGGAGGGAAGCCCCGGCCTCACTCTCCCCATGTTGCTGGCTGGGTGCAGGGAACAGCAGCACAGGGGAGTTTCGGAGTCGGGATTTGCTCACCTACTATAAGAACGAAAGGCTGTTCACACTGGCTCTGGATCCTTACCAAACAGTCCTGTCCCCTCTGCCGTCCCTGAATACATAGCTGGGGTGGGGGGCCTTTTCCTGTCCCCTCTGCCCTACCCCATCTTTATCATCTCCTGCCCCTGGGGAGGCCCATTTCCTGTTCCCCCCTGTTTCTATTTTCCTACTCAAGGCAGTGAGTGATAATAGGTTAATATTTTGTATTTTTCATTTTGAAATAATTTCATACTTTTTATTGAGACAGAGTCTCACTTTGTCACCTTGGATAAAGTACATCACAGCTCACACAACCTCAGACTCCTGGGCTCAAGCAATTCTCCTGATTCAGCCTCCCCAGTAGCTGGGACTATAGCTGCCCACCACAATGCTCAGCTAATTTTTCTATTTTTAGTAGAGATGGGGTCTCCCTTTTGCTCAGCCTGGTCTCTAACTACCAAACTCAAGCAATCCACCTGCCTTGGCCTCCCAGAGCGTTGGGATTACAGGCGTGAGCCTCCATATCCAGCCAATAATTTCATGCTTTCATGCGACAAGAACGACCATCGGAGGGATAGGAATGCTGAGTGTCAGCAGTGCACCTTCGAGTGGCTGGAATAAGATGCACGTGGCTTCAGATCTCAGCTTTGTCACATAACTGGGCGTGATTTCCACTTCATCTGCTCCCAGCTTCATCGGCAGCAGTGGGGATAGAAAGCCTTGGTAGGCTGTGCGAGAATTAAATGAAATAGCACGGGTGTGCAGAATCTGTTGTGGCACGCAGAAGTCGTTTATCTGTCGTCTGAGGATCCAAAGTCTTGCACTTCAAATCTGTCACAGTCTGTTTAGGCTGTTATGGCAAAGTGCTGTAAGCCAGGCGGCCTGTAACAACAGAGATGCGTTTCTCATGGTCCTGGGACTGGGGAGTTCATGACCCAGATACAGCAGGTTCAGTGTCTGCTTCAGAGACGGCCGTCTCTTCTCTGCAAGCTCGTGTGGCAGGAGGAAGGGACAGGGGTGCAGCCCCAATCCCGTTCCTGAGGACTCTGCCCACATGACCTACTCACCTCCCGAAGGCCTCGTCTTCTTTTTTTTTTTTT